TAACGTCCAAGTCGCGGAGCAGTAGACAAGGTGTGGTCATTCTGTAGACTCCGACCACTTTCTCATTGGGATATGCATCGTAAATACTTTTTAATAGAATAGCGGCATGCTTACGTCTCAGAGTGGTATCTTTAAGATTGCCGAAGAATGGTAGTGGTTTAGGTCCAGGTACATTTCTATCCTTCCAATAGTTAAAAGTTCTTGTAAAATAGAAATATAAAAGAGCAAGTACACTTGCTCCGCTAATTAAGAGATACAGCATGTCGGACTGTGTGCGATTACCGAATGTATTAAAAATTACGATCGCCGCACATTTATACGGCTAGATTATGTCTGTCATGATAAGTAGCAAAATAAAGATGACTTGCCAAAAACTTTTATATTTGTTATGGTTGAAGTGATAAATTTGTTATTTTGCGTAACAACAAGGCGCTAGCGTAAGATTAAAATATAAAATATTATTTTATGTTGTAGTCTGCACATTGTCATATACATGAATAACTCTGCCGTTTTACTAGGAGCCTAAGATGGGGGACAAAAACTTAGTCAACCACGATGGCCTAGTACGGGTTTGTTGACTTCCCACAACTCTACGAATTTCTCGTCCATATACAAATGTTGTTATAAATGTTTATGGTGCATACATTGTTTTCTTCACCGTAAGAAGATTGTATTAGAATAACAACAGTCCGTTTGACCGCTTAGAAACTGATGCTCTGTTTTTTAATGAATTAATGAAACTGCCGTGTCACTGTAATAGGACCGTATCAAACAAAACCGCGATTGATAAATTCTTTCGGAGAAATTATGTAGGAAGGCTGTTTGCATAATTTGTAGTTAAGAGTTTGTTAGAATCCATCACGTATAACCCAATGTCAAGAGAAGATATTGGATGGAGAAGGATATATGGGATAAAAAGCTATTGTCAGTTTTCAAGTCATTCGTAAAATAAATAACGATTGCTCTAAACAAGCCTTGAACCCTAATTTTGGACCTTTAACAGATGACTGTTGTAAATTTATTTTAGTGCTATCCTAAGTGGTTACACTAATGTATCCATGCGCAAAATTTCAAGACTCTGAGTTCATTGTTATCAGCTATAGCTGATCCCGTGCGGCTTCATCCGCATTAAATTACTAAAACTTTATTTCATTGTTAACATTTATCAAATCCTCAATTGTAAATGTCGAAATACCAATTACCTTACTATGGCAATCTTACTTCCTTGATGTTGGCAGCAACTTATAGTCTCTTTCCCATATTAGGGTTTTATCTAAAATATTTACGCCCTAAGTTTAATGGCGTGAAAATATATAGCCTAAAGCATGACGTAAGTGTAGGGCTTTTTATTTAAAAAAAAAGACTTATTAAAAAATCCTGTAATTTCTGAGATCTTAGGCAACAAAAAAATGTGTGTTTACGCTTTATCATAATAGTACATGTAAATATAGATAGGTATGTTAACATTATATGAATCAATCAGTTTTGTCGTGGCAACCTACTCACAAATTAGAAAATCCCGTTTTTCAGTGATTTATTTCCCCTTCAACAAAATTTCGGAAATAGCCGTGGAAAATACAAAAGAAAACATTTTTTCTAAACAGATAAAGATAACTCTAAAATGTAAGTAATTTGCTTAAAATGGGCAATCGCTTTTATAAGTAATACTTCACAATAAAGTCTTATACGGATAGGAACATTTGTTTCTTTTATTTTTTATCTATCGCCGTTAATTATCGAAAAAAAAATAAGCAATTTTGTCCATAACATAATTCACAGCAAAATTACATGATGCATGATTGCGTGAATTAATTACACAGGCGTTAAGTGGTTGCAATACCGTGCTTCGCCTAATAAGTGTGCATGTGGGGCCTAGTTTAAAGACGAATAGGAAGGGGAGATATCTTCAAAACCTTATGCACGCGAAATGAAATTAAAACCGAGTGAGAGGGCTAAAAGTGATTATATATATTCGCTTTCTAACAGTGACCTAGAGTGGTCAGATATCGATCCTTTCGTTGTTTTTAGCAAAATAGGCAATTGATGATATGTAATGCAGTAAAAATGTTTCTAAATATTATTAATAATTCATTACCGACATGTTAAGGCAATATTAAATTAACAAAAAGCATAACATCTAAAAGCATTAGTAAATTAACAAAAATCTCCTATTATTTTTAATAAAAAAAAATACTTGTTGCTCCGGGTAAAACCTTATTAACACAAAATTTTTGCGATTGGCTTACAGGTTTTCTTTTATTTGTTTGAAATTCGGACATCTGAACTGACAACCCCATATGACATCTCGACTCGGATGTTAATGGAGGAGACTTTTTTGATTTCGTGATATTTTTGAAGAATGTTAGTTAAACTGGGAAGAATTTGTGTCGTGGAGGCTTGCCGAAACGAGTATTACGCTGATTGAGGGTTATACTTTCATAGGTAATAGTTTTAAACATAATTGGTGAAGAATTACGGTGACCATGCATGACTATCTAATTCTAGTTCAAGAACAAATTACTTTACCACTTATGCATTTATTTCTTCCTTTCTCTATTAAATAACTTTGTTTTAATGTAATATTTTAGATATATAAGGAATAAGATAGGTAGGTTTGTGGCATAAACTTCACAACACTTATTTATCAATGTCTGATTTAGAAATGTGCTTTTTGTATTGTTTTTAGTAAATACATTAATGATAACACTAATATATCCAATAATCAGCTGACGTCAATCAACGAAAAGGTTTTATTAAAATATCTGTCTTTAAATTATATTTGAACACAGTCATCATCGCCAGAGAGGGATAGAACGGACAGTTATATAGCTCTCATTCCTCGTTAATTTTTCGACACGAGCTTGTTAGAATCGTATCCTGTTCTAGTAGTATAGTCCTACAAGATTCTTTTAGCAGCCGGTAAATTTTGTGAAAAAAAAATGACATTTAATGTCAGGGTAACTTGACATAGCTTGTCAAGTTACTTCGCGTCTTTACTTTACGCATTTTGTGTGGCTTTTTAATGTTATTTCATGAATAAAGTGATGAAAGTTTTTAAAAGTAGTGCAAGAGATAATTTTTTTTTTAAGTCGGAGACATTTTTATTGCTGAGAAGAAGTAGGGGAGGTCAAGTAATTAGATTTTTTTTTTTTGGGCGGCGCCATGCCATCCCTCTCGTTCCCCCTAACATGTTTTCGGGAAAGGGACGTTGGGTGCGGGTGAAACTCTTTATCTCTTTATTTTAAGTTTTTTGCTTATATCTTACAAGTTTCTTAAAACTACTTTATAATTACAATAAAATACTATCACAGTTTTTGCCTTTTTAGGATTTCTGGTTATAGACTAAAAATGCTAAAATGACTAGAATTAAATGACTACTTTAAAATTAGTAAAAAATGACTAGATATGCTACTACTATAAGATTAAAATGATACAATTAAGTTTACAATTAGTAATAAAATTATAGTTAGATTAAAAAATGGCAGTAAAATAAGAAGATAAAATAAAATAAATAATAGGCTAAAAACGTTGTAAATAACTAATGTATGTAATCTATGTCTTATTTCTATTAATTACAATTTTGGCCAAGGACCTACAGTACTTTACAAAATCTTGTTTTT